AGCTCGAATCACTACTCTTCCATAGCCCTTATGTCCGCCCAGAATCCGCCACTTGAACCCCCCGCCCATGTATGTCTATTCGGGAAGAACTGCAACCGAATCATGCCCTTGAAGGCTCATGTGGTGCTTGGCACGTCGTTTCGTATAGCTGCAGCATACGCGGATGATCCCCGTAGCTGGCCGCATATGGGTATTTCTCTAAGGGCCCCCCCTATAATCCCTGTATAAACCCTCTATGCCTCTTGAGGTCCCTAAGGGGCCCCTATTTTGAGAAAACTTCCATTTGCCTAAACCCTATATCCTAAACCCTAGACCCTAAACCCTATACCCTAAACCCTCTACGGAACCTGAGGGTGTCATGTGAGCTCAGGCCACAATGCTCCAATCTTTGCCGATGAGCCGCCCTAGGCCACCAGACACGAACATGAAGGTTAAGGCTTGGAAGGCTACGGATATACGCGTTCGGGGATTCAGGATACAGTAGGATTTAGGGTTTAGGGTATAGGGTTTAGGGTATAGGGTTTAGGGTATAGGGTTTAGGGTATGGGGTTTAGGGTATGGGGTTTACGATATAGGGTTTAGGATGTTATAGGCTTAGGGTATAGGGTTTAGGGTATAGGGCTCAGGGTATAGGGTTTAGGGTATATAGGTGTAGGGTATAGGGTTCAGGGTTGGAGGAGTTGAGGGTTATTTCCGTTCCGCTGTTCTTCTCAAAGGCCCTTAGGATTCCTCAAGGGACCCCTCCTTTGAGAAGTTCTCCTTTTGCTAGTGACCCTGCTGCCTCAACCCCAAAAAAGCTGCCGTTCTTGAAAGCACAGGGAAGTCCTTCGACAATCCTCAAAAAAAGGCTATGTTTAGGGACCCCCAAAATGTATGGAGGGATGGTGCCTGGACTCAAACTGTAGGTGTCCCCTTAATTTCGACTAAGACCCAACGGATGGGTTTCTCCCTTGAGGATTCTCAGAATAAAGGGCCATGCATGCATGGGTAGATGTGGGGAGGCCCTCTGCTAAATGCCGTGATTGTGTCTCTGGTTGCTGTTTGGGGCTCTGTGGCTTCATCCCTTGGGGTCTTCTTTTTGGCAAACTCCCTAAACCCTAAACCC